AGGGGAGACCCCCTCCCACTCTGGGCAAAGGAGGCGGGTCCTTCTCCCACGGCTTGCTTAGGAGCAACTGCCTTGGCCCGCGAAGCACGAGGGGGGGGATCCCAGCCTTGCCGGGGCCTTGTCTGCTGAAGCCCCCCACGTGAAGGCATCCTGAGCAAAGGTTCAGGCTTCAGGCTGTGCCGCTTCTCATAGAAGCCTGGGAGAATTTGGGGTGCAGGGAATGCAATCTCTGTTTTCAGTCAGACAACCCCAAAAGGGGGCTCTGTTTGGCCCAGCCAAGGTAGCCAGGTGAGAAAGTTTAGCTGGTTTGGACAAAACCCAGCCTGTCCTCTGAGCCCCCCGGAGGAGCAGAGATGGAGAGCTGGCAGCGTCCGTGATGCCAGGCAGCCTTTATGCAGCAACTCTGGCGGCCGCCTGCTTGCGAGACAGAAGGTTGCCCTTGGCATTACTCTCCACAATTTCCTCAGGAGTTTTTTTGAAATGAGGATCGGCACCCAATTCCTTTGAAGCGTTTGTGATGACGGTGCCGGAGGCAGCAAAAGCCATCCGAGCACCTATGGGATTCAGCCTTCTGTGCAGAACTAGGGGAGAACATCCGCGAGACTCACTATGGCCAAGAGGCAGTTAAGGGGAGCAGAGGAGGCCCCCCAAAATGGCAAGGAACCTGAAAGGCAGAAGAAGTGGAGGCCGTCAGAAATAAAAGCCGCACCTGTTTGGAATGTGAGCGCAGGGGACTGAACGAGGAGCCTACTCAACTGAATGAAAATCAAGCTGGTGAAAGTTGGATTCCAATGAAAGTAAGGACAGGAATATTTCAGAGGTTAGCAAAGGAAGAGTGGACTTGGATTAATGTTACACAAACAAACAAACAAAGAGCTGGCATTCAGTATTTTTAATATTATTAAGGTTAGTTTCCGGAAAAGGAATAATGAAAACGAAAACCTAAATACTGCGAAAATACCGAGAATGGTTGGGCCTGCAGTGTAACTGGAGAAATGTTAAAATCAGGAGGTGGATTGCTTATGGCTGCATGACTCGGTCAACACATCTGCAAAGGCTGCAACTATGAAGGACATGCCTTGTTCATTTACCAAAAGCGGAAGGTAACAACTGTGAACGCAAACAAAACCGCATTTTGGAAGTGAGGGAACATGCCTGAGAATGAACAGTTCACTAAGGGAATGTTTTGAGAAAGGGCCAACAATAAAAGGCAAGGAGAGATTATTTTTCTTCTTAACATAATACGTTTATGATCTCTGTAGAAGGAGCCGCTGTGGGGAGGTTTGGGCTGCGGGGGGGGGGGGGGGTGCAGGTGTGCTGGAAGCTTTGTAGGCGGGGCACGGAGCCACCGAAGGTTGGAACTGGCGGGTTGGGGGTCACCTAGCTTGGCTCCATGCCAGGCAGGAACAGAGGCCGCCCCAGCCTCCCTTAAAACTCCCCCAGAAAGGACATCCATTAATTCCGAGGCAGATGTTCTGCTCCAGATGTTAAGGTGTGGTGGGCAGGGAACCTGAATGATCTGCTGTCCTGGTTGTATTGAAAAATGTCAGTCTACCAGAGACCAAGGCAGTTGCATTCAAGCTGAACAAATAATCGTGGATCCGACTTTGATGAAAACCTAGCACAAAGAGATGCGGTAGTTGACTCTGGCAGAATGCTCACGCCAGATGTCCAAGGGGGAAAAAAATAAGGGTAGCAAATGCTGATAGCCAAGTCCTTGGGGGCTGATTGCAAGGAACAAGTGTGTAACTTCAGGCGCTCCTGATATATTCCTGTATATTCTTAACTCCTTTCACCTGAAGTGAAGAAAGACAGAAGCCGGCTGCCTGACTTTGGGGCCAGTCCGTTTCTTTCAGTCCAAACCACCTCCCAGGCTGGTGGTTGTTGCTGTGGGGGGAAAATGGAGGAGGAAGGAGGGAGCGCTGTGTGCGCTCTCTACTCTGGGCTATTCGTCAAAGATCACACAGGCAGGACGCTAAGCAAGTCCAGGGGGCTCCAAGGCTGCTTCTGCCCACTATTATTTGAGGCACCAGGACAAGCCCAGTGGGGGGAGGGGGCCCTCCTGTGAGACCCAGCCTCTCTGGCCAGGAGGGTCCCAAGGCAACCAGCCAGAGGAGGAGGAGGGGGAGGAGGAGGAGGAGGAGAGGGGCGTTTAAAGGACAGGAGAGGAACTGGGAATGGTGGACCTGCCAGAAACCAGCAGGGTCCTCGAGGAAAGAACCGGCTCAACCAGGCTGGGCTATACGGGGCTGTTTCTTCTCCGGACTTTTCTGCCCCATCCCTCAAAAGGGACTGGCTGTTGATCAAAGGGGCCGCAACCCTTTCGTCCCGATGAGGCCTTTGAGGGAGGAGCTTCCGGCTGCTTTCCTCTCAGTGTCCGTCCCAGGGAAAGCGGAAGGACAAGCCAACGGTCTGCCATTCTAGCTCCACAGGTGCTGGGAGTCTGCTTCCTTTTTGTCCCGAGTCGGACTTCCAGCTCTGCCCCCTGGCTGCCCTGCCCCGCCTCTGGAAGGGAACTCCCCCCATGGCCCCGAATATGCCACCCCGGGGAACGAGAGAGAGGCGCTGCAGCTGTGCTTGAAGGGGACCTGGGTTTGCATGCAGCCCCTCCCCTTTCTAGATGGCCATTCTCTCCAGAGGATGGAGGGGGGGGGGGCTCATCAGTTATGGGGGAGGGGGGGGGGGGAGAGGCGGACGGAGTTGCACCCGCCTCCCAGAAGGACGGAGTTGCAAGGGTGGCTTGCATCCCCGGGGGGCCAATTCCCCCTCTGCCTCCCCAGGGGTCAAAATGAGGGGCCAGGATAGGAAGAAAGGGCCGTTGTGGGTCAGCGGGAGGAGCGGAAGAATTTGCCTCGAGGGGCTTCTTCCTCTAACGCTCCAGCACACTTGGAACGTGAGGCTTGGGGAAACTTGGCCGGGGGCCCAGCAACAGGACTCGGCGACCTTGTGCCACCCTCCCTCCCCGCATGGCCACATTGACCGTTGCCAGGAGCAGCGCCTACGTCAGAGCAGCCCCGTTGCCAGGCTCCCTCGCTGCAGCCGGGTGGCTGTTGCCAGGGAGGGCAGCTGAACCAGCCGTGTCCCTTGGGGCTGCCCCCTCAGCCTGGACGGAGCCTTGGACCCAGCTCCGCTCTGCCTGCCGTGGCGGACCAGGCGCTGGCCTTGGGGTGCCGCCTGGGAGGGGGAGGGAGGGTCGGTGTATCCGGGGAACCCGGGTCAGAGGGACGGAGTGTGTGAGTGCGTGACTTTGTGTTAGGCTGGGCCCTGGCACCACCTGGATGCCTCCCGCGTGCCCTGTACCTGGGGACGAAGCTGGCAGTTGAGCCCTGCTGGGGGGCAGCCACACTGGCCGAGCGCCTGTCCTCCTCCGTGGGCCACTCTCCCCTCCCGTGGCCTCTCCTGGGGTGGCTAATCCTATTGCAAGGGCTTCTGGGGGGGGGGGGGCTCCCTCTCAGCCACCTCTCGACTCCCCTTGACTTGCCAGCAACCGGGGCTCCTTTGGGCTGGCTCCCCCTCAGGAAGGGGGCGGGGCGCTCTCGGCCTGCCGCAGGGGCCCTCGTGGCTTCCGCTCCCCCCCCGTCTCCTGGCAGAAAAAGGGCCGTTTCCGGTGGCTCCTCCCCCTCCCTGCCTCCAGGGGTGCTGCACAGCTGCGCCTCGGTTGTCCTTTCTGACTGGGGGGTTGACTTGGGGGGCAAAGCCCCGTCTTCAGGTGAACCTTGTCAGCATTCAGACCTGGACACAGGATGGAATCCGCTTTGGTTGCCCTGTTGGGCAGGATCCCTTCTTGGAACCTGGGGGGGGCGAGGGGGTAGAGAGCGCCCTGATCCAGCTTCTTTCCAGCTTCTCTGCAGCTTCCAGGGCCATCCAGAGGGCATCCAGAGGGACTTGGAGGCTGGTCTGGCCAGGGTGAGAGGAGGAGGGGCAGGGCAGCCTAAAACCAGCTTGACCTCTGTGTGAAGCCACTGGGTGAGACAATCATAGGGCAATTTGGGGCTCACCTCCGCCTCGGTCTGCCCTGGAGGGGCCCATTCCAGGGTCTGGGCGGGGGAGAACTGGAGCAGAGAGGAGCTACGCCTTGTCCCCCAGGAGCAGCTCTTGGCGGCGGCCCCCCAGTGGGAACCATGGCTGGAACGCTTGACCAGTGCCCAGCCGTAGGCCTCTGTGGGGCAAGGGGGCTGGCCGCGGGGACTTTGGGCACGAGGGCACCCAGCGCCGCTGAAGGGTCTGCCGCCAAAGAGGACCTCAGCTGGCCCCACAGGCTAAGGGCTGCCCACGGGGCCACCTTGGGCCCGTGGCCTTGGCTCCCAGGGGCAGCTCCCTCAGTCCTTTGTCCCCTCGAACCGGCCCCTCCCTCGCTCAGCCTGGCTGGAAGAGCAGCGGTTGGCCTTCCCCACTTGGAAGACCGGGATGTGGATGTGCCTTGTGGGGGGCAGAGTCGCTGCTTTTCGGCCCTGGCCCTGCGGAAGGACCTCCCGCTGGATGGGGAGCTCCAGCTTCAGCGCCCCCTGGAGCGTGGAGGACTGAGGTACACGCGGAGGTCGAACCCCTTGAACTGGCCTGAGATTTCCACCATGTTTGAATGCCGGATGCCAAGGCTCCTGTGGGGCAGCAGTGGGGCATCAGCAGGATGACTGTGAGGGAGAGACGGCCAAAGCACTGAGCAGAGGGAGGGAGGGAGGGAGGGAGGGAGGGAGGGAGGGAGGGAGCGAGAGCACCTAGGCCGGGGGCGGGGGGGCTTTCGTGCCCAGGACACAGGTTGGGGCCCAGCCCTCTGGAGAGGCCACCCGTCCTCCCCTTCCCGTGGGCTGCTCCCTAGGGAAGGGCTGGGGCTGCAGGCCCTGGTGCAGGAGCCAACAAGGGGTGGGGGGCCCAGCCTCTTCTGCACCGGGACGGCCTGGGCGCCCCCCCCAAGAGGGCAGGCTGGGCTTGTCGGAGAGGCAGGGGAGACCCCTGGTGGGCAAGGGGGGCTCGGGGAGGGAGGGGGCCTTCTCGGGGCCCCTTCAGATGTCAGCCTCCAGCAGGTACTGCTCGGTGTAGTCCTTCGCCAGCTCCAGGCCCAGGGCCTCCTGGCAGAAGGCGGCCATCTCCAGCCACAGCTGGGGCTCCAGGAACAGCTGGCACATGACGCCACCCTGCAGGCCGGGCACCTGGAGGTGCAGGTGGTGGACCAGCTGGCTCTTGAGCTGGGCCAGGTTGCGGCCAAAGGCGTCGATGTTCAGGTACTGCCAGTCCTTGCCCAGCGGGATGGCGAAGGGCTGGGTGCTCAGGGTGGCCACGGTGGGGTGGGCCTTCCGGTCAACCACCCAGCGCAGGCTCTTCTTCTGCAGGAGGGCCAGGTTGCTCCGAGTGGCCTTGAAGGGCTGCCAGTCCTGGATGATGGTCTGGTTGGGCAGGACTTCGCTCCGGAAAGCCTCCCTCAGCACGACCTCCGGCACCTCCCTCTCCAGGAGCAGCTCCGAAGGCTCCAGGCGGAAGCCGCCCCCAGCCAGCGCCACAGCGTCCAAGCGGGAGAGCAGCTCCTGGGCCTGGAAGCGCAGCAGAAGGATCCCCTGGGAGGGGAGGGGCCTTTGTCAGGGGGCGGAGAAAAGCCTGGCGGGGAAGCAACCGAGCCGCGGACTGCTGCGGGGGGGGGGCTGACTCCCCTCTGCCTGCGGGCCTCTTGGGGCCGGCCCGCTTCCTCCGGCCACGGGGGAGGGCCTGGAGCGGGGCTTCCCAGGCAGCCGGTAGGTGGGCCCCGAGTGGACCCCGGGGGCCTTTCCCAAGAGGAACGGAAAGAAGGGAAGGGAAGGGAAATGGGCTGCTGAGACTCCCTGGCAGGAGGGGGGGGAGGACTGAGAGGCTGGGCTTGGCCAGCAGCTGTGCCATCCCCTCCTGCGCCTGGGACGGGCCTTGGGCTGAGCAGCTGGGCGCCTCCCCTCCCTCGGACTCCCGGGGTCCTGCCTCCGAAGGCTTTCTAGGAAGATGGCGCCCATTTTGAGGAAAGTCCAAGCGGAACTGCCATTGCTCCTGCCAAAGCGGACGCGGTCCCCCCCCCCCCCCCCCGGTGGTCCAGAAGGAGCCAGGCTGGGAAGAATCCGCCCTAATCTCCTTGGCCAGAGGCCCTTCTGCTCTGGGGGCCTCCTCCTCGTCCGGGGCCCAACGGGGACCTCAGCCTCCCCCCGCAAAGGGCTGAGGGGGGCAGGCCCGGGCACGCCATCCCATGGGCTGGGGACTGTGCCTTCTGGCAGTGCCCCCAGCCTGGCTGAAGCACCGAGTCCTCGGCCTCAGCTTGCCGGGCTGCCCACGACCTTGAGCCCTGGCTTGCACTCCCAACCGGACGCGGCAGTTGGCCTCTCCCCCGAGGGCCCTGCGTCCACCTCTCGCCCAGCCCCTTGGTCCACTTGGCCCCGCCCGCCTCCTCTGCCTCCCCCCAGAAGGGACAGGTGGCTCCAGGGTCCATTCACCTGTTTTGCAATGATGCGATACTTCCTCAAGTCTTTGGCCCCCAGCTTGTCGTCCCGGGTCAGGCGGGAGACTTTCACTTCCGGATGCTTCTCCTTCACCATGGCAGAGCAGAATCGCTGCAAATCCCCAGCCACGCCTTTGCCACGCTCCCAGGGTGCAACGCGCAGCCCCTCCACCAGGGCAGTCTCTCCCGCGTCAATGATGTAGACCGACTGGAGCCCTATCTGGGGGCAGATGGCGGCGGGAGCCGAGAATTAACTTTCATGGGGTCCGATGGATGGAGCAAGCACGGGAGGGGGCCTGGCCCCACTGAGGGTGCAAACTCCACCAGCCCCACTGCACCCCACCAAGGAAGCCCCCCAGGTTCCTTGATGGGGGCCAGAGCCCCACCTGACGCCCAGAGGAACAACCCAGGGACCAGGAAACTACGGCTTGCTCTGAAGGGGAGGGGAGGGGGTTTCCTTGGGGGCCCTTCTTCTCCAATTGATGAAACTTGGGGCGGGGGGGCACCCAGGCCGGGCTGGGTGCGCCGCCGCCGGGGGGTCCCGAGCCCCTCCCAGAGGCGCGGCGGGGGGGGGGGGGGAACATCCCAAGTGTGGCCTGTTCAGCAAAGTGAAAGACCCTTGGGAAGAATTCTGGGTTTCTGGTTCAGGGGGGTCTCTTCTTCCGCTTTGAAGTCCACAAAAGGGACCGCACAGCTAACCCAACCTGGCCCCCAGCCAGGGGCGGGGGGGGGGGGGGGGGGGGGCAATGCCTGTTTAGAAACTATTTGTCAAATTCCGGCTGTTCCCTTCACAACCTGACAAGAGGAGCCATTGGGACGCAATCCATGTGCCTAAGAACAGGCGAGGCCGGGTCCCCCCTTTTCCTTGGGGGGCTCCTTCCCATGTGGCCTGTTGCCATTGTAGGGCCAAGCGGTTTGTCTGGAGTCTGGACCGTAAGCTTGGCTGGACCCTCCACTATGGGGAGGCGCCCCAAGAATTCTGCAAGCCCCTCTGGAGAGCCAGGGGCAAACCCGGAACGCTGCCGTAACTTAGCCTCTCTTGAGAACGGAAGGATGTAGCGGTGCCCCCTGGACATTGGGGGGCCGGGCCCCTGGGGTCGTCCTCTTGGGGAGCCGGTCCCTGGGCAGCCAAAGGCCCCGTGTCCTCCTCCTCCTCCTCCTCCCCCCCTTCCCTGCCCATGACGGAGGGTCTCGCTGCCGTTGAAGCTGAAGGCTTGGGGAAGAGAGGCAGCTTTGCCCAGGCTCCTACCACGAGGCCATTCTTCTTGGCCAGCACAACGGTGCGGTTCGGCTCATGGATCCAGGCATGGTAGCGGCTTGGGAGGTAGTCGAGGCCTCCGTAGATCCCCTGGGAGATGGCCAGGATCTCCTCAAAGTCTCTTTCCGTGGCAATGGTGAACTCCAGCTGCGCGTCAGCCGCACTTTCCAGTTTCATGGCTCGCACAAGCAGCTGCGGCTGCAGGGACACAGACATCCATCAAGACCCCGGGAAGGGGGTCCCCCCAGCCCTCCCCAAGCAGCCCAGCTGGCCCCCAGGCGGGTGCAGGGCGCCTAGGCTTGTGACGGGCCCCCTTGGGAGGGACGGAGGGCGAGGCTGGGCAAGGAGAAGAGGAGCTGGGGATAGGCCTACGCCCCGCAAGAGAAGGTGGTTCCATGATCCGCGCGAGCCATTCGGTCATCTCTGCCTAGCGGGTCCTTCCTGCTTCCCGTCGATTTCAGCAGAAGCCCCCCGTGGCACCCTACAACCGGGGGGGGGGGGGCGGGGGGAGGGAGACACGCTGTCCCAGTGCAGGTTGTGCCTTTGGAGAAAGTGCAGCCTCGGGATCTGGATGGAGCCAGTCTACCCGCCCTGGCATCGAGTCCAAGTCCAGGCAACGGGTGGCAGTCAAAGCTTCAGCCCAAAGCCCTTTTTGTGAACCGGGAAGCCACCCCCTCGGAGTAAGGGGCAGCAAGGACCAAGGGCCGGCGGGAGGCCCCGGGCTGAGCCGAATGCCAGTGGGGAAGACAGAGACCCACCTGGGGGCCCGGAAGGAACCGCTTGACCAAAGACGGGCGCAACCAAAGTCCCCTCTCCCCATCCCGGGGTCGGGCAGAGGCTCTCAGCGCAATGCCCTTGATGCGACCTCTGCCCTCTGGTTTCCCCTCCATTTTCTACCCTCCCCCCCCAGGCCAAACCGTCCGAAGAGCGGAACGGAAGCTCAGCCTCACCTCCCTCAGTGCAGGTTCGGTTCCCTGGCACCTGAACCGGCCCACAAAGCTTGCCTGACCAAATCGCCCTGGGGAGGGGCATACATTGCTTCCCCCTCCCCCATTGCCCTGCATTTTCTCTGAGAGGGGGGGAGGGAGGGGGAGGGAGAGAGAGAGCACCTCGTTCTTGCTGGTCAGGTGATGAGCCCTAGAAACAGAAAAGGCACGAAGCGGGAGCGCAGCAGCCCCCCTTCCTCGGGAGAACCTGCAGGGCGGAGCTGGGAGTCGAGGAGCCCCCCCCCCCCCCGGCCAGACCCCCTCCAGCCAGCCGTCCTCCCCTGGCCAAGTCTTCTGCTCCGCGGGATCGGGGCCGGGGGGAGACCTTCCCTTCCCACGGAAAGCTCCCGGGGAGCGAACGGGAGGCCAGCAGAGAGCCAGCTCGCGCCCTCGCGCCGCCGCCGAGGCTCTCTCGGCTGGAGGAGCTGCCGGCCGCCGCCAACTTCCCCTCCGGCCTCGGCGGCAGAAAGGAGCGAGCGGGACGCGAGGCGCGAATCCCCCGAGCAGCCCCTCCCCCCTCCCCCCCCCCCCCCCCCCCCCCCCCCCCGCCCCCGCCACCCGCGGATGCCGACAGGCCGAGGCAGGGAAGCGTCGCCATACCTGCGGAAGCGCGGAAGGGCCGGGAGAGTCGGGAGCCGATGGCGCACCTGCCGGGAACCTCTGGCCGTGGCGGTCTCGGGTGGCCGGCCGGTCCTCCTCGCCTCCCAGGAAGGATGGAGATAAGCTCCCCCCACCCCTCCCTTGGCCCCGCCCACCAACGGCTGGGGGGGGCGCCTACTCCCCCCCCCCCACTCTCACGCGCTTTTACGTCAGTGTCGGGGGCAGGAGAGGGCACCCGAGGAGAGCGTGGGAGGCCCGGCCAGGCAGATGCTTCTCTCCCCGCCGGCAGATGCCGGGCACCGGCTGCGTTCAAAGCGCCGGGGCGGCCGCCGCCGGCAGCAGCTCCCACTCTGGAGGAGCCCGATGACACCCCCGGCCGACTCTAGGGAGCCTCCCCCTTTTCCGGCCCTGAAGGAGCCGGAAGTCACTTTAAGGGGTGTCCAAGGCTGGAGGAAGCGAGGGGAGGGGGCTCTTCCCTGGCCCTGGAGGGGGAGCAAGGGAGGCTGAGCTGAGCGCCTGCGCCTGGCACACCTGCACGGAGCACCCAAAGGCAGCCGCCTCTCTTGAAGGGGCAGCCGGCTGGGCTGGGTCTTCCAGGCTATCTATCTATCTATCTATCTATCTATCTATCTATCTGTCTATCCATCTATCTATCTATCTGTCTATCCATCTATCTATCCATCATCTATCTATCTATCTGTCTATCCATCTATCCATCCATCATCTATCATCTATCTATCTATCTATCTATCTATCTATCCATCCATCCATCTATCCATCTATCCATCCATCATCTATGTATCTATCCATCCATCCATCCATCCATCCACCCATCCATCATCTATCTATCCATCTATCTATCTATCCATCTATCCATCATCTATCCATCCATCATCTATCATCTGTCTATCTATCTATCTATCCATCTATCCATCCATCCATC